CAGGTGCCCTTCTCTGTTGGTGGTTGGAGACAGCTCTCCTGCAGTTGACGCTGTGGTAAGTACATGGTAGCAAAGGCAGGAAGTTACATACATAGGTATGTACGTACCCTGTTTCCCCCGAAAATATGACCTCCCCGGAATATGGACTTGGCCTTATTTTCGGGGAGGTCTTATTATTTTTGAGGTGTAGGAGGTGGCGAGCGTGGTCATCTCATGGCTTCTGCTGTGTTGCAATATTTTCAGGGAGGGCTTATTTTCAGGGGATGGCTTATTTTAGCATGTGCGCTCCAAAGCCTGATTGGGCTTATTATCCAGGGAGGTCTTATTTTTGGGGAAACAGGGCAATGTCCCTAACAGTTCATTGGAGTTACTTGAAGATTGGAGGGAAAAACTAAGATTGGGAAATGGCAGTTTATCGAGGCCTAATAGCCCAACCCTAATATTGTACCAGTTCCTCAGGCTTACATATTAAAATATTAAATAGAGCTCACCTGGAATTCTGGATCCTGGGTCAAGATAATTCAGTCCTATGAGTTTATTGCCATCGTATCTTTCTAACTTTCGGAGATAAAGGTAGACTAGCCATCACAGGCGGGTACCTTGGAAATAATACCAACCATTGTATTCCTGACCCGTTTTGGGTCAAATCAGATATAAGATTGAAGAGTAATGATTTAGTTGAAGTTACTCATTAAGCTTCATAGATAAAAGAGGGAGTGAACAGGTTTGTTCCTGGACTAAGGTGGCAGCCACTAGGTATGAGCTGTGAGAAGTAAGAGCTGCTTACAACAACGTTGGGGATGTTGTGATGAAGTAGCTGAAGCGTGGGAAGGGGTATACAAGAAATAGATCTCGGGGGACAAACTACACGAAAAGTATTTATGTCGTTTCAAATGGAGGACTCAAAAAAATAAATAAATAGATCCAGTTCATTACCAGAATCGTTAACACACTTAATCACAGCCTTATCTTCTTGCCCCGCATTTTCAGTGAAAAATTCTTACTAGGCAATTTAGTTCTTACAGGAATTAAAAGCAGTACTTATAATCAGAGTTTCTCCCCCCATCTAAATAATAGACTAGGTTTGGAAGCTGGTCCTTTGGATATTAGTTCCAGCCTTCTGTTCAAGGAGGAATCAAAATGAAAGCATCCTGACAGCTGTTGGAGAGCCAAGGAGAGGGATTAAATTCCTTCCATAGCTGACAGTCTAGAAACCTGGGGTAAATAAATAACTTGTGGTCTTCGGGCTACCTGGAAGTTTAAGGCATAATTTCAGAAGTCCCGTTTTTGGAATATCGGCAAAAGGGGGAAAATGGGGAGAGCAAAGGAGAATGATTGGGTGCTGCTGCGAACTTTGAACTTTTGCACCCCCAAGATAGATTTGTGAAAACGGGAAAACAGAATTCACGTTCCTGCCTATTACGGAGCAGTCGGGCATCAGAAAAAAAATAATGGAATATCAAGCGGTGCTTTTTAGCATCCAGAATTTCGCTAGCGACTTCCTGAAATCCTCTACAGGTAGTTCTTGACCTACGACCATAATAGAGATCGGAAAATTCATTATTAAGTGGTGCGGTCATTAAGTGAGACACCACAGGATCACAAATTGCTACCTCATCCTGGCTTCCCCTTTGGTTTTGCTTGTTGGAAGCTGGCTGAGAAAGCCACAAGCGGTCACCACGTAACCTCAGGACATTGCAACTGTGGTACATGTGTGTTGGTTGACAAGGATCCAAAGCACAGTTGTCACCGTGGGGACACTGCAACAGTCATCAATGCAAGGATGTGTTGTGGCCCGCCAGTGGAGCTGATGGCAGACTCAGACAGAGAGGAGGTTGGGGAGGAACATGGGCCAGTCCTGGAGTCTGGGGAAGGCTCTGATGAGGGCTCTGCATCGGAGGCAGAGATGGGGCCAGGGCCGTATAACAGTCATCAGCTGCTTTCAGAGTCAGACATCAGTGGGGCAGAAGAACATCTGGAGCCTGTTTCCGATGTGCGCATGCTCAGGGCTGCCAGGAGAAGGGAACAGTTAAGGAACAAGGGCTGACTCGGAAGTAAAGGCACAGGTGGATGGTGAATGACCC